ACACAAATTATTATTTCTTTGTATGTTACTGTCTATATTTCTATCAGTTGCTTCTCAGTCTACTAGGAAAAACCAATAGGACACCAAAATACAAAAGTCACTAATAAATGACTCTACACATATGACAAAGAACAACCATTAAAATAAAGAGGTTCATAAAGTATTAAATTTTTGTCTTAAAACATCAATAATGCTATATTTAATTTCTGCCAACACTTTGGTTACTATTAAAAGAATACTGATGTTTTCATACTGGTTATAACCTAAAAGAAATCTTCTTCTTTGAACAGATATAATTTTTTTGTAGGCCAAAATATATCTAGAAAAAGAGGAATACCACCCAAATACACTCAAAATCTATCATTTAGACATAACAAGGTGAGAAAAAGAGCTTGTCAATTACAGAAGTAACTAACTGTAGTCGCAAGCAACAAAAGCTTAAGGGCCAAGATAACTTCTGCTCCTATTATACCCATCTATTCTAATCACCCTCAAGACACTAAAGGGACAATTAAAGCTGTACCAACAGAACTTTAATTATATTAGAAACGTTCTGAATTGATATCACAATGCCATTTAACATGCTTGTGTTAGTGTAATAAAACTGAATTTTGACTGGAGTAATATACCATTGAACAGAATGTAAATATTGGAGTGGGAGAAAAAGGAGTATGTTTTGAAGGCCTTAAATTTTTAACCCACACTACTGAATGAGAATTATACCTATAATAATTTCTCGAATGTCTAATAAAATTGTACACTTGGCAAAACTTGCATTAAGATGCAAACATAAAACACTTTACATGAACCAAGAGCATGATAAAATAGCATGAACTCATGGAAATAACCAGAAACTTTTACTCAGTTTACAAGTAGTTTACAAGTCAGATCCTACATTTACAGCACTATTAAACATAAAATCTAGTCATTATATAGATGAATATTTACTAAGTTTTATGACTTTGCATCTCTGTTGCATCTCTATTTATTAGTCTGTAGTTTTCTTATAATTTCTTTGTCTGGTTTTGGTATCAAGATAATGCTAGCCTAATAGGATGAGTTGAGAAGTACAACCTACTCTTTTATTTTTGGGAAGAGTTTGGGTACATGGGTTTTATTTGGTAAAATTCACCAGTGAGTCCTCTGCGCCTGGAATTTTCTTTGGGGGAAACATCTTCATCGAAAATTCTATTTCATTGGTAAATACAAAGTACTCAGGTTAACTGTTTCTTTTAGAGTAACCTTGAGTTCTTTCAAGGAATCTGATGTCTTTCAAGGAAATTTTCATTTTATCTAAGTTGCTGAATTTATTGGCATTAAGATGTACATATTTCCTTACCAGTCTCTTCATATTTCTGTAGAAACTGAAGTAATATCCCATTTCACATGCCTGGTACGGGCAATTTATGTCTGGTTTTGTTTTTTTCTCATGACTCTGGCTATGTTTTTATCAGTTTTACTGAATTTCACAAAATTAAGCCTTTAATTTTTGTTAACTTTTTCTAATGTCTTTCTGTTATCTATTTCATTGATTTCTGTTATTATTTCAATTCTTTAGCTTACTCTGAATTTAATTTGCTCTTGTTTCTTGTGGTGGAAGCTGAGGCCACTGATTTGAGATTTTTCTTGTTTTCTAATATAAGCATTTACTGCTATCATAGATGCTTTAGCAGCATTCCATAGACTTCAATATGTCATATTTTAATATTTTTTTGGTTCTAAATATTTCATTTCTCTTGGAGTTCTTCTTTGACCCATGGGTCATTTAAAAGTATGTTGTCTTTTAAATATTCATAGATTTTCATCTATATGTTGACTTATAATTTAATTCCATTATAATAAAAATTTTTCAGAATATCAATCTTTTAAAATTTATTGAGATTGATTTTATGGCACAAAATATGGTCTTGGTGGATGTTCCATGTAAACTTAAAAAGGACATGTATTCTGTTGTTGAGTGGAGTGCTCTGATATTTACTTTGCCAATATGAATAAAGCCATTTCAACTACCTTTTGCTTAGTGCTAACATTACCTTTTCCATCTGTTTTTTTTTCTAACACATCTGCATCTTTATATTTAAAGTGCATTTCTTAAAGATAGAATATAGTTGGATCTTCTTTTTAATCCACTTTGACTGGGGTATTTAAACCACTTACATTTAACACAATTATTGACAAAGTTAGGTTTAAAACTACTACTTTTTTTTTTTTCTATTTCTCCCATCTATTCTTTGTTCTCTTTTTCTACTTCTGCCTTCTTTTAGATTGAATATTGTTAAAATTTCACTTTATTTCCATATAGGCTTAACTATTTGGGATATTTTTGTTGTTGCTTTGACATTTCCTTTGGAATTTACAATATAGACCATTATTTTATCATACTCCACCTTCAAGTAATATTATGCCACTTCAGGGACAGTGTAACCTTACAATAGTCTCTCTTCTGACCTGTGTGCTATTGTTGTTATGTTTTAATTCTATAGGTCATAAATCCTACAATGCATATTATTATGTTTGGTTTAAATAATTATCTCTTAAATAGAATTTAAAAATCTTATTATATCTATCCACATATCTACCATTTCTAGTATCCTTCAATCCTTTGAGTAGATCCAAATTTCCATCTCATATCATTTGCCTTCTGTACAAAGAATTTCTTTTAACATGTCTTGTAGTGAAGGTCTGCAAGTGATGAGTTCTTTGAGTTTTTTACACGTGTAAAAGTACTTTGCCTTTGTTTTTGAAAAATAGTTTTGCTGGATATAAAATTCTAGGTTGACAATTTTTTCTTTCAGTACTATAAAAGTGTTGTTCGACTGCGTACTTACACAAATCTAGATGTATAGCCTACTACACACCTAGGCTATATGGTATATCATCATTGTATATGCCTGCCATCTTTGACCAAAATGTCATTATGTGACACATGACTATATTTGTTTCAATATCCTTGTCTGCAATTTCTATCATCTGTGTCATTTCTGAGTCTGTTTCTACTGAGTACATCTTCTCCTCATTTTGAATCATATTTTCTGGCTTCTTTGCATGCTAAAATAAATTTTTATTTGGATACTAGCCATTGTGAAGTTTAAGGTGGGTTATTACATTCCTTTAAATATTTGAACCTTTTTTCTGAGATGTAGTTATATGAATTGGTAACAGACTTTTCAAGGCATGCTTTTTAGCTCTGTAAAGCTAGCCAGGCCAGTCTCTAGTGCAGGGCTAGTTTGGCCTCACTACTGAGGCAATACTTTTGTGAATACTTTTCCTCATGCCCTGTGTCTTTCAGGTTTCTCTACTATATTGGGAATGTAAACAATTTTCAGCCCTGTGTGTGCTATGGGAATTGTTCTATAATATCTAGAGGATATGTATAATTATATATGTATAATTGTCTTAAAATATCTACAGAAGATATTTTCCAAGCCTCACACTCATGTACTAATCAGTATTCAACTGAACACTCAGGGTGGGGAGCTCCCTGTAGACTTTTAACACTCTCTAGGCAGTTCTTCACTCTCTGGTACCTCGCCTTATAAGCTACAGATGTCTTGGCTCTATTCACTGAACTGGGAATCATGAATACTCCTAGTATCCAAATTATGGTCACCAAATACCACTGAAAGAAGCCACAGTTTCATAGAAAAAGATCTTGTTCTAAGTTTGAGACAGAAATATACAAGATTAAGAGGTATACTTTGTTATAACAAATAGCAAGAAAGCTATCCAAGATTATAGTCACCAGAGGACTCAGGAACCAACTAAAGGAGGTTCACACGGACTAAAGATGAAATGACTTGAAAACCAATAAGTATAACTTCAATGTACTGAAGTGCATCAAAGAGGTTTAAATCTCTGAGTACATACTAAATACTAAAAACAAGAACTGATCACCACTGAGATTATTACGAAACAACCTCTTTAAAGTAAATAGTGAAATTAAAGGAAAGAATAAAGCATTTTTCTTAATAATGCCTACAGCATCTGGTATTCTTAGGTGGTCTCCCATCCAAGTACTAACCAGGCCCAACCCTGCTTAGCTTCCGAGATCAGACAAGATCGGCACGTTCAGGGTGGCATGGCCATAGACAAGAGTAAAGCATTTGTCCTACCTTTTCTATTATGAACCGCATTACTGTATAACTAAACAGCAGAAAAGAGGAAATCTCTCGACTAAAGTGTCCTAACTAATAAAATCAAAAAAGAAATTACAGATTTAGAACATCCCCATTTTACAACCACCCTGCACTAATAGATCTAGGCCTTGAATGTCACTGGCTACTAACATCAGAGACACTAACATCCTACTTAATAGAAGAGTATCAGCATCATCTCTGAAGTAATCTTGCTGAAAATGAAAAATGAACCCGAATTTGCTCGAGCCTCAGTAAACTATCCAAAGTATAGAAATTTGAGAGCACAAAAAAATAAAATTAAATTAAAAAATGATGTTAAATCCAACAGGGATGCAGCCAGAAAAATCTACTTTTTTTGGAGATTCCATCTTTAAAAAAATAAATGGAGAAAAAATGAGTAAGGTAGGAAAGCAAAGAATAAGAGGAGAGGCCTATAGTTTCAAAGAGACTTAAAATACCAATTACAATCAATCTATATTTGGATCTTAAAGCAAGCAAACTATAAATGGCTATAGTATACTATGATCATCTGCATAAACTAAAAAAATAGAGTACATTTATTAATATGCTTGTCAATTAGTAAAGAATATCTCTGGAAAAATACGTGAAAACTGGTAACACTTGTACCTGACCTGGGGTGAGGGAAGTGGATGGCCAAATGACTGGGATGAGAAAGATTTTTTGCATCTATTGAGCTATGTGAATATAGTATCTATTTATTGGAGAAAAAAAAAAAAAACTGTGTTTTTTTGCAGTTACAAAGATTGCCTAAACTAAAATCACCAATTAAGTTCTTAGAGAAGCTGTTCTGAACTAGAGAAATGACAACATCCATCTTTTGATTTGCAAAAATAATGTTATTACCTCATCATATGTATATCTGTAGTCAGCTTTCTTTGATTTCAGGTCCCATAATACTACTGTGCCAGATTCAAAGCCAATCAAAAGCTGTAATAAAAGAAAATGCCGCATTACTCAGGAATGACATTAATCATATGAAACATTTATTTGCTGTCTATAAAAATAACTACTATCATTAATATGCTTCAAGTATAAAATTATAATACAATTAAACATCTGCATTGCTAATTACTAATCCTATGGATGACAAATGAGAATACTGTATTCCATATTTATATGGCTTTGATGAGTGGGACAACATATATCATACAACTGTTTTTGAAAAAGAAAACGGTACCATTTAAAAGTCTCAAGTGTGTGTTTTTATTAATACAACATAATTATCAATACAAATTAATATTTGCATGTGCTTTAGCATTTATAAACTTGCCTAATTCAATACATTATCAGGTAATCTCATTTATTCATCTACATAATAATTAGTTCCAAATTATATTCAGCCTAGAGCCCTCTTATGAGATTCAGACTCCTAATTCCAATGGCCTCATCTCCAATTAGCTACTCCACAAGAACCTCAAAGTAAATGTGTCCAAAAGCGAACTCATTATTTTTTTCCCTACCCTCCTCTGGTATTCTCTCTGACAATGTCTCTCTCACCATTCCTTATCTCAACATTCATTAAGTTGCTCAGGCAAAAATCTGGGGGTCATCTTAACTCTACTTCCTCCCCTGTTAAGTAAAATTATCAAGTAATTTTAAAATTACATTCTATTATAGCTCTAATTTACTTTCCTCCACCTGTAATACCTTGCTCTTGGTCCAACATATAAAGATCTCTGGGGTGATCCTTTTGTACAGTATATAAATGTCTAATAACTATGTTGTACACCTGAAACTAAACTAACATAATATTGTATGTTAACTATAACTGGAAAAAAACAAAACGAAACAAAACAAAAAAACGAAACAGATCCAAAGATCTCTTTTTGGGTCTGCTATTCTCCCTGATTCCAAGTCTTGCTCCTTTTTTAACCCATTCTACACAGCAGCTAGACTAATAGTTCCATAATGCAAATTTGATCATGTAATACGTGCTTTTATTTAAAAATTTTCAATAATTTACCTTTATTTTTAGGATAAAGTCTAAACTCAATAATATGGCTTATAAGATCTGTCATGGTCATGTCTGCTTACCTCTCCAGCTTGATACCTTACCACACACTTCGTACCCAATACAGTCCAGTATATCTTTCAGTTGATGCTCTTTTTTATCTTTAAGCCTTTGCACTTGCTGTCTTCTTACCTGGGCCACTACATTCAAATGTCATCTTTGGCCTGACTAATCCTACTAATCCTTCAGATGTCTTTTTAGCTATCACTTCCTTGTGAAGCCTTCCTTGACCTACCAAATGTAAGTCAGTGCTCTTCCTATGTGCTCCAATAGCACTCTGTACTTCTTTTTTATCTGAAAGGTCAGCACACAATATAATTATGACTTGTGCCATATCCGAATTCTCGTGCAGACTGTAACACTGGTCTACTTAGTAGGGATTGGTTTTATCTTATTCACCACTGTACTTCTAACATAAGACATGGGGCCTGCTGTAGGTACTTAATAAATTTTGGGGGGAATAAAATATCAGAAAGGAATATATGTTCTTGTCTTATAAACCGTCCACTGCCTATCCAACTTCTGCTGCCCACCACCTCTACCCTGGCATTTTCTAAATCTCAGTATTTCTCTGCTTAAAACCTCTTCCCCTTTTATTTATTGAGCAATGTTCTACTCATTTTTAAGTCTCAATTCAGTGTTGCTTCTTTGAGTAAGCCTACCCAATTCCTCTGCAAAGACAAAGGCGCCCCTCCTCCTGTGCCGGCACATGCATTTTCTTCTACATGTCACTAATATACTGCCTCATTAGTAGACAGTCAATGAAAATCTGTTTTATGAATACATCAATGTAGGTAGTCGATAACTGTTCCTATAATTTGGGATATGAGCAAAGTTTGAGGCAGACCTGGTAATTTTAATGAAAGAGCAATTTAGTGAATTTCAGACCATACTGCATTTGGAGGGGCCAGTCATTGTAGCTAACAAAACAGGTTTACCCACCTTGGAAGGAAAGATAGCTAATTTCCCTAACCCAAACTCTTCTTTCCTAGGCAATCTTACATGGATACTCTTTCTAAGGAAAACTGGTATTTGCTTCTTTTACCTTTTCCTAGTCTTTCCACATATCTTGGATATGTGATACGTCATTTTCTGATGGGGGAGTAAGAGAAGAACTTCAGGAATAAGAGATGAAAAAGGATAAAATTTACAAGTTGAAAGATGGTGTAAACAGCACTAGATTACTCAGGACACAGGTAACCTGAACTCTAGTCTTAGATCTGCCAATTAGTATTCATGTAACTTTAAGGAAATAATTTTACTCATCCAGATCTTGTTAACATAAAAGGGTTACAGTAAACTTCAAGCCCTGGAGCCAGCTCTAACATCCTAAAAATGTTAGAAATGTGCCAACAGGGTAGACTTTAATCCCCATAATCTAAATATTTTTTTAAAAAGAGCTAACTTAAAGACATAGTGCTTAAACTCAGAAGACTCTTTAAATAGTTACTCCTATCACAATCTTTTATAACTTATAGAGATGTTAATTTCTGTGGTGTTGACTAGTTTCCTTTTAATTTTTCTGTCATGAAAAGCATCACTGGATACACTAAATATGAATATAGTTCTCTACAATATCAATAGCCGATCTGTATCTTACAGAGGAAAAATAGCATCATGGAAAGTACGCTGGGGTTCAAATCAGAGAAATCAGTGCTCAAAATCCCAGCTCCACTAATATCCAGCTTTGTACCTCTGGACCACATACATAATGCCACCAAGTCTTTGCCTCAATCATCTGTGCTGACCACTTTATATACATGATTTTATTTGATACAACATATTTAAATTAAATTACAAGTTGAAAGACGGTGTAAACAGCACTAGATTACTCAGGACACAGGTAACCTGAACTCTAGTCTTAGATCTGCCATTTTTAAAATCTGCCAATTTAAATTTGTTGTATCAAATAAAATCATGTATATAAAGTGGTCAGCACAGTGCCTGATTGAGTAGAATTCAATAAACTGTAGTGAATACTATTACTATCGCAAGCAATTTTACAGTAATGCCTGGCCTTCATTAGCCAACACTTTTGCTTAATTTGGTGGCATTACCCAGAGGGTCAGCTTTGGAGGAACTTGACCCTATCACTTTTTATCTTTCTTTAGTGACACAAATGTCACACAGTTCTCTCTGGTAATAGGGATGAGTCATTGACCTAGTTAAAGTAGCCTTTTCTATTAGAAATTAAAGGTTAAACAATGTAATCTGTTCTAGCATCCTAATATTTTTTAAATGTTTGGATAAGATAAGCTCTGAGAACTAAGGAGAATAATACAATGCCAACTTTCAAAAAATGAGGATGCTATAAAAGGTTATATGTGATTTACTCATTCAATAAATTAAGTATATATTGAGCAGTTACTGTTTACATTGCGTGCTGGCTACTATGGGAAATATAAACCTACAAAAAAATATTATCTCGGTGTTCAGGGAGTTTTTCAAGTTCAAGAGAGTTGATGTATGCACACATTTCTAATAGAAGGCAATATGTAATAAATACTATAAAACTTATGCAAATCAGGTGCTAATTTGGAAGTGGGAGAAAGCATTTTTCTGTTAGAATTATCAAGAAAGATATCATGAAAAATATATATTTAATTTTAGCCTTAAAATGTGGGTAGGAATTCATTGGAGGGAGAGAGAACAGTGAGAAAGAATTGCAGAGGGACTCACATAAACAAGACATGGAGGCAACAGCAGCTCACATTTGGGGAAAATTAACTATTTGATTCAGCACAGCATTCAGATAAAGATGCTTTAAAAGACAATGAAACTTTATTTTATTTGTTAGAAACTGTAGAACCACCAAGAGCTTTTGAACAGGAGAGCAATAAGATTAAAATGGTACTCTAGGAAGATTGTCTAGAAATGATTCTAGACTGGGTTGGAATGCCTTGAACTCCAGTGGTCATATCGAGACTGGACAGAAAACAGACACTGCAAAAAGGAAGGACTGCAATGACTTAGTGACTGATTCAAGGTAGAAGGAAGTTTCAATTCTCCCACCAGGCATCCCACCCAAAGGCTTAGTGTTTAACCAAGTATCTTGTTGCAAAAAAAATAATGTGAAGATATGGGTCACTGTAACTTGCTTCATGTAAAGTTTCTCTCAAAACATACGATTGTCCAATTATAAGCTAACTCCAAACAGAAGAGTTGTCCTTTTGTTTTCCCAGTGGCAAGTAAGGGAACATTGTTAAACCACATGTAGCCTAGACTCTAAATGAAGAAAAGGTAAACTTCACAAAATTCAGAAGTTTCACTTCACTGACTTCTGATAGTGATAAATTTCCTGGTATTTACATAGGCTAGCATCATAAAATTATAGATATAGACAAATATCACTAAATAGAACTACCTGAAATATTAGTTTGGATTAGAAAATAGAAATTCATGGAAAAGAAAATTTTGTTATTTTTAAATATGTTTAAAAAAACTAAACTAACATTTACTAGATACTGATGGTATGAAACTGGTTTCAGAGCATAAAAAATTAAGTAATATATATATATTAAATCTCTATATTACTAATCCATGCTATTTATGAAGAAAAATTTAGGGGAGATGAGATATGGAGTAAAATCTAACTGCTACAATAATCATATAACTGAAGTGCTAAAAAGAATTAAAAACCAAAATAAAACAGTTCTTGTCAAGATTATCAGAAAATCTGAAAAAATATATTATAAATAAGCCAAAAATAAATAACATTTCATTGTTTCTGTTAAAGTTTACTTTCGTTTTAGTTTCTGTTCTTTAAAATTGTAAATGATTCTATTTCCCTTGTTTTTCATAATGTATAATGTATAAATAAGTCATACAACCTTCGTTTTTAATTTCAACTTTGCAAGGTAAATGTGGTTCTGCAATAGTTTGCGCATTTAAAAAAGATTCATACATAAATATATTTTTTAGAAAAAAAATTCTACCTTTCCTTCATCCATTGGATTGTCACTTATATGGACAACAGGTCCTGGATGAGATTTAGATGACCTAAAAAAGAAAAAGTAAAATTTTTTCTATGCTAGAATTTTCAATGCAAATATATTCCTTCAAGTAAGAATAATGAATAGAAAATAAAGCTATACTTACAAAGGATATAAACATATCAGTAGTGATCAATAACAGATGTATAGTTTTTAATAGAAATCAAAATAGAAATCAGAAAGAAAACAGTACCTCTTGCATCAATACAAGTCAGCAAAATTTACAATTAAGTATACTTTCTGTACAGGAAAGAATATGCGATTTAATATTTCAGTGTGAAAATTTATTCTCATGGTAGAATTCTCAGAATAAATATTTTTAAATAAAGCAGTATCTAAAATATTCTATCTTATTTTACTCAATTCTAGCCTCCAATTGGGGCACTTCATCTGGTTTGAGAGTTCACACAAAAATAAGGAAAAATTCTATTTTTTTAAAAAAAATCAACAAAAGTAATGCCACTTATACTTTTTCAGAGACAAAGAAGTCATGTAGATAAGAATGTAGCTGAACTGATACTTGTACAATATGAATAAGCACTCTCTATTCATAAACTCCGAGGGTTGGGAGACCAGTCCACTTCATGGGAGCCATCTGTGAAACCACACCTACACCAGACCTACCCATTAGATGCTGTGATCAACTCAAACAACAAACCACAAAACCCCAGAGTTTGTACCAAGGGACTAAGATATGATAATAATGTCCCTGCCACAAGAAGGAAAACTATGCTGAATACACTATTACAGCTGCACCAACACATTACTTAAGAGATATGCCACAAATTTATTGTTATGTCAAAGTGACATAAAATCTGTGGAATGAAACAATATGGAACTATTTGTTTAAAAATAAAACAAAAAGAAATAACGAAAACGAATCTTGCCAATATCCTTAAGTTTTTATTTTTATGTCTATATTATATAAAAAAAAATTCAGAGAAAGAGATAAGATATACAGAAAGATAAGATTTTAAACAGACTGAAAAGTTAGTGCTAAAGATCCTTAGGGTCATATAGCTCAAACCAATTTTTGTTGCTGCTACTGTAAAATAAAAACAATCATCATTGTATCAAAATTAAGAAAAATGGTCAAATTAATTTTGTAATGTTATACTGGAAACATTTATTGTATTTGTTAATTATTAAAACATATCAAGTAGTGGTTTGGATCTGCATTTTCCAAACATTGGTGGCAACCCATTTAGTGGGTAATGAAATTAACTTAGTAGGGCATGGCAAGCATTTGAAAGAAAAATAATCGGAAGATAAAGGGAAGAGTGTTTTTCAATATAAATAATTGTTTCTTTAAACATGTGCCACAGTTTATACATATGTGAACATATGCATATATGTTATATACCTATATATGTATATAAAACATTTAAATATACGAACTGACAATAGGACAACACTTACAAAAGACTTTAATAAATCTAAATCTAATATCGAGAATGTCAGACACATATTTAATTCAAAATGAATTTAATTAGCTTAAATATAATGACATTATCATATATGGTACTGATACTTTCAGATCTGGAATTTTTGCTCGAACTCACAATTCGATGGCTTTATTCCACATAATGACGTAGCCTGAGAGTGTGAAGGACTCCACATTGACAATATGTATATTACCTCGTTCAGTGCCCACATAGAGCCACTTACTCTGGAAAGGTAGATGGCAAAATGTAACCCTACAAGAGAAAATATATTTTTAAAAAGAATTAGAAAAATGCCTGGTAAATGTTATTAATTGTATTAGAGGCTTAATCATGATGTATATAATTTAGGTAAAGCAAAAATGATACACAACCATTAGATTTATCTACTCATTGTGATTAAAACTTAATTATGCTAATTTGACTTATGCTTAATTCAAACATAAGGCCTTACAATAAATAGCATGGCATGATAGAAAAAAGGTGAGTTTTAAAATTAGTGCAGTTGTCCCTCAGTATCCTTAGGCGATCCTGGAATCAATCCTCCAACGATACCAAAATCCATAGATATTCATCAAGTCCAAATGCTACACCATTTTATATAACCTATGTATATCCTCCTATATATTTTAAATCATCTCCAGATTACTTATAATGCCTAATATAATGTAAACGCTATATACATAATTGTTATACTACAGTGTTCAGGGAATAAGAAGAAAAAAACTGCATGCATGTTCAGTATTTACACAACCATTGTAGGCCGTTTTTTCCCCCTCAGTATTTTTGATCCGCGGTTGGTTGAATCCGCAGATATGGAACCGACAGATACAGAACCCACAGATACAAAGGGCCAACTGTATGTTTCAAATTTAACCATGTCATCCCCAACTGTGTTACTTTGGACACATCAAAAACAACCTTTAAGCCACAAACTATGAGTCTAATACCCACTTAAAACATCATCCCTCGATACTACTGTATTTCTCAGGAGTTAGTAAACACTGATATCTCTCAGTAGCTGTGTAAACCATTTCTTCCAGACAAAATGCTCTTCTCACTCATATTTTTCTTCTGCTCAAGATTCAGTTCAAATATCACCTTCATCCAAATTGATATCCCAATACTTCTGTATCTCTATCAGTTTTGTCTTGTAAGAGAATTAGGATCTACCTTCCTCACTAACTTGTAAACCCCTGGAAGGGCAGAGATCTTCTATACTCAGGCTTAGACAACGTGACTGAAATATAATTGAACTATCTCCTCCTACATCCTGATGATATGAAAGGTTTTTATTGAGAAATTATAATAATTTATATGCATGTATTAAACTTTATTATCATTCCAACAATTTCAATCATTTTCTATACCAACTCATTTGATTTCAAGGTAAAGAAAAGAAATGATCTTTTAGTAGCACTTACTCTTGGGGGGAAGAAAAGGTAGTACATTATGAAACCATATGATGCTCATTTTTTCACAGAATTCAATCGTGTCTCTCAAAATAGACTATTTAAATTTCAATAAAATAGCACTTCAAATAATACACTAATAATAATCACTGCTAGGCTATCAATACTGACACGGTATTAGGCAAAATATAGTATACAGAATATTCGCTATTCCCATTAACACACAATTTCATTACAGAGAATTTTGAAGATAATAACACTTATCATATAAGTGTACATGCAACTCACTGTCTCACTATTTCCTAGAGGTAACATTCATTTAGACAATTACTTAAGGTTCATTATCTGTATTTTCTACTGAGTGTTATAACACGTCATCTTTCTAAAGGATTTATGTAAATTTAAGAAAGCACAGAAATGTCTACTGAATCAGAAAAACATTTTATAGTACCTTATTACTTCATAAGGCAGTAAGTTCACAGTACTTTTGTGAAAACATTAGGGCCATATAGGTTACAGAATTCAGAATTTTCTTGATTTTTAGAAAAGTACAAAATCCATGTTTTAAATATTACCTAATATGGAGGTAGCATCTCATAAACACAGTGAATATTTTTGAGGTATAATTTTTAGCAGCTTATTTTTTAATTGAGGTATAACTGCCATATGACATTAGTTTTAAGTGTACAACATAATGATTCCATATATGTATATATTGTAAAATTACCACAATAAGTCTAGTTAACATCCATCACCACACATGTAGTCAGAATTTTTTTTCTTGAGATAGAAACTGAAGATCTACTCTCTTAGCAACTTTCAAATAAACAATACAGTTTTATTAACTATAGTCACTGGTAGTTTCTTAAAAAGTTAAACATACACCCACCATATGATCAACCCACCCCATTCCTATATATTTGCCCAAAGAAAAGAAAGCATATGCCTATAAAAAGACTTGTACACAAATGTTCATAGCAGCTTTGTAACATCCAAAAACTAAAAAGAATCCAAATATCCATGTCCATCAAAAAGCAAGTGGATGAACAAATTGTGTTATATACTTAGAATGCTATTCTGAAGTAAAAGAAAAGAAACCATTGAAACAGGCAACGGCACTGATGAATCTCAAAATCCTTACAAGTGAACAAAGCCAGAAAAAAAGGACACTAAATGTAAATATGTATATGCATATTGACATAATATGTATATATTATATACATTATATATATCTCTTCCCTCTTAAAGATTCGTAGCACATATTAAAGTAGGGGTCCCCAACTCCTGGGCCAAAGACTTGTACTGGTCGGTGGCCTGTTAGGAAGCAGGCTGCACAGCAGGAGGTGAGTGGCAGGCTAGCAAGCGAGGCATCATCTAATCTAAAATTTTTTCAGTTCTACCCTACCAAGTAAATAATATATCCAGATTTATATTTACAAAACCACATATATACAGCAGATCACAATTTCCAGGTACTTTAAATATTATTTCCATATATAGATAAGAATTCTGAGGTTTAAAAATGTTAACAGACTTCCCAAAGATCACAAAGCCAAAGCCAGAAACTATGGTAGTATGATTTCATTCATAAACAATTTCTATGCAATAGAAAATGCAAACTAAGCTATTTTAACAGAAAGCAGATCAGTGGTTGCCTGGAGATTATGGGGGCAGAGGCTAGTAACAGACAGAAGGGATTACCTCAAGGAAGCATTTTGAGGTGATGGGTAGGCTCCTGACCTTGACTGTGGTGACAGTTTCATGGGTGTACATATGTTAAAACTTATCAAACCATATATTTCAAATATGTGCAGTTTATTATTTGTCGATTATACCTCAGATAAGGCTGTTTTAATTTTTTTTTCTTTTCAGAGACTTATGAATTTAGAAACTATGAAAAGATTGTCATTTTGATTAATATATTGGAACAAGTCCTGGTGTTAGACTGCCTGGATTTATTTAATTTCCAGCTCTGTCACTCACTAATATATGACCTTAGTTAAGCCATTTAATCTCCCTGAGGCTCAGTTTCTAAGCCGTAAAACACACCTACCTCAGTGTTTACTTGAGCATCAAGTAAGACAAAACCCAGTAGATGCTTAAAATGGGGCCCACACAGGTAGGTGTTTAATAAATGTTAGCTAATTATTATTAAAACTAAGTGATATTCTACCAATTAGAAGTTAGAGGCAAATTTAAAACACATGAAGTAAAATAATAGTAAAGGGAACCGTTGTACCCTGTTAGTGAGGATGTAATCTGGTGCAGCCACTATAGAAAATAATATGAAGATTCTTCAAAACATTAAAAATAGAACTACTATATGATCCAGCAATTCCACTCCTGGGTAATTATCTGAAGAAAATAAAAATACTGACTTGAAAAGATATGTACACTCCGATGCTCACTGTAGCTTTATTTACAATACCCAAGACATGGAAACGACCTAAGTGTCCATCAATGGATGAATGAATAATGAAGATATGGCACACACACATACACACACACATACATTACTCAGCCATAAAAAAGAATGAAATCTTGTCATTTGCCACAACATGGATATACCTAGAGGGAATTATGCTAAGTGAAATAAGTCAGGCAAAGAAAGACAAATATAGTATGATCTCTCTTATATGTGGAATCTAAAAATACAAAAATTAAAATATAAGCAATAGCATGCCAAATATAAAATAAACAATGCAATCAACATCATAAAAACAACTATTTCATTTGAAATGGACCTTAAACTAAAGCATGAACATAGCTAAACATCTTGGGGGGAAAAAAAAGGCCAAATTAACAGGTTGAGTAAAAAAATAAAAAATACAAAAACAAGACCCAAAAATATCCAACTTCCTGCTCTGATCCACTATTTTGCAGTTCTCCATTATTCTTCACTCTACAAAAGCAGCAACTACTGACGTGCTTATTGTAATTACAACACATCTTTGATTTTAATGATAAAATGATTTAAATGACATAATATGCATACGAAATGTACTTATTTCCTTAAGAGCAGAGATTTTAGATGTGTATTACAACATGTTCTGTTCCTAACACAGCAACAGCTATGCTGCAGCTATTTCTCAAATATTTAAAGAAGCAAAGTAAGACTAAAATCTTCACTGTACAAAAAAATTCTAGAACTTTTCCCTAGACTAGCTTTCTCATAATTAGCCTACATTCTATTATTTTTTTTCTCAATCAACTGTAAAACCAACTTACATACTGAGAAATTTTAAGCATCTTCATGTTTTTCAGAAGTGAGAACTATTTAATAATTAATACTTTAAAAAAGAACTCAAAATAGTCACTTAATTATCTTGGCACCAAAACTTTAATACTGTCCCTAGAATGAGTCTTGCACACTTCTTTAAAAAGTGCATAAGGCTTCTTAAGCAATATTCAATGACACTTTGTGGTAAATACATTTGGGAAAACAGGGCAGGAGATATAAAGTGTGTTGGATTTGGTCATTTGGTACTCAGCATCCTCTTCCATTATCTTCCTATACACTTTCCGGTACTGTATAGATGCTGGAAAGCTAAAACTTACATTTCCCAGACTCTCCTACAGTTAGAGTTCTAGGTGAGATTAAGTTTCTGTAATTGAATATTCTTGAGATTTGCAGGCAGAAGTGCGGCAAACCACACCTTTCTGTTGCTGTTTCTGCTGTAAAAGACATTCATGAAGACCTAAGTGGTTAGACGCACTTATGGCAACAGCGAGGACCGGACACATCATTCAAGGTCTACCCCTGAGCTTCACATGGTGAGAGGCAGTTGTACAGCAGTAACAGTAAAAGTAGCACTGTGTCCTATTCCTGAGATTACACCTACA